ACAAATACAAGGAGAAAATGAAAACCATCATTTCTCAGAGATGATCACCTTATAGGTTTAATATTGGCAGTCTCAGCTCTTTACAAGCAAGCATGGAAGTTCATGGCCTTTTTTTCTTGGGATATATTTTTTAAAAAGTTCAGAAATTGTTGACTGACTACCTACTATGTGCTCTCAGTTCTTTGTAGGAGCTGAGACCGTATAAGGGAAACATTAGTTGCTGCTGAGGGGCCCTTGAAGAATCCTTCCTCAGACAATGAGGGGATATCCTCATTTGCCATGTGACAAATTTTCTGTCACCTAGGAACACATGGAATGAGTGAAGTGTCCCTAGCAGCAAGGCCTTGGCTGTTCCAGGCCATGAGATTATTTATTCAGTTTTTACAAAGGAAAGGGAACAAAAGCATGGGATGTTTGATTTATATCTTGCACTAGATCATGAGAATTTTTAAATGTTTGCCTCTTCGTAAACCTCTGTTAAATAGGGGAAAGACTAGCCTCTGGCTGACCCAGGAGAGAGAGAAACAGTTGTAACTGGATGTTGTCACCGTAAACAGGGACAGCGAGTTGGAGACCAGGTTGTATTCACCGAGGCTGACTCTTTGTGCATCTCTCCCAGGATGCGATGAGGAAACTTTTCAGTTAGGTTGAGAAATGAGTGCAGGTAGTATGTGGTTATCACTTAATGTTATCTCAAGCAGAAAATAAAAGGGAACTTTGTTAAAACTTCCTTTCCACGGATCTGTCTCTCTTAGTGTTCTGACCATTTCACTCACTGCCTTCTAAAGAAAACATGAAGAGTCTCTCAAGAAGGAGATGAGTTCTCCCTGAATGGTAAAAATAATTCTCTTAAAGAGAAACCTAGTCATCAGTATCATGGGTTCCCCGCTTTCTGCCTGTCCCCTCCAGTAAACGGCTTGCCATTCCCGCCCCCGGCAGGGCTCTGCTCGCCCGCCCCTGCTGAAGCCGGCAGCCTGCGCCCGCCCTCTGGCCCTCACCCTGCCTCCTCTCCTTTCCTGGGCTGTAACAAGCACTGCCTCACCCAGGGTCTTTTCCATAAACCTTTCTCTCTCCCACTCAATGTCTCCATACACCTGTTCCTCTTCCAGAAATCGGCTCAAACATTGCTTCCTAAAGTAAGCTTTTCCTGACCCCTCTGCATAGCACCTTAATTATAGCTACGAAAATTTTTTTAAAAGAACTTGAGTTAGTTGTCTGACGTGTGTCTCTCATGCTTCATCAGGGCAGGGGCCATGTGGTCCTGCTCGCTGTTGGCCCCCAGTACCCAGCACTGGCCTCATTCTTGGCAAACATTCAAGCATTCGTTCAACAAATGCATGAATGAAGTATATTCTTATTTGGAACAAGACTGACATATGACCATTCATTCCCTAAGAATTACACCCACCCTATGCCAAAAGCTGGGATTCAAAAGCTCTCAAGGGGCTCAGTTTCCATTGGTTGGATAAAACATGAACAGAGAATAGGTATGACCTCTAGTTTTGTTTCCAGTTCCTGGGAATGAAACATTAAGAGATGTTATCCTTACTAAAAATAACTCTAAATCATTTGTATTTGATCTGTAGCTATTTGGAGAGAATGCAAATTGGAATGTATGGAAATGAAAAAGATTTCCTCATTTACTCTTCTCTGAAGGCGCGCTAACTATTCTACGTGGTACTTTAAAAGGTAGGCCAGCAAGGTGTTGTGTGTATACAGGAGAGTGACGAATAACACAGTGGAGGGAGGGAGCTAAAAGCACATAGATGAATGCTGTTTCATAGCTGCTGCCTGGACTATGTTATAGTCAAAGTTCAAAACTTTTTAAAAGATGCACTTAGCACAAGAGTGCAAGCATGCCTCCACTCCCTCCCACCCCAGCTCCCCTATAGCTTCTGAGGGCATCGCCTTCCCTTTGGAGCGACAGGAGTCTTAACAGTGTGCGCCATTTGCACACGGGAACCTTTGAACAGTCCAAGCTTACTGATAGTCTAGAAGAGCTTCACTGGTAGGCAGCTTCGCGTCTTTCGGCGGCGCATCTTGAGCATCCTTTTTATTTGCTTTCGCTGTGCTTTCCATTGCGGTGCTTAGCTAGTAAGAAGTATACCTATTTCGAAAAGAGATATAAGAGAAGTAAATAAACTCTAGTCTTTGCCCCTCTACTGGTGCTTTCTCGAGATAAGGCACAGCTGAAACGTAATTTAAAGCCGGCTTTTCCAAGCAGACTGCTTTTCCGTCTAACGTCCACCACAGCTCTGGGGCGTCATAAACCAACTGCATTCTTGAGTCTGGTGAATTCTGTGTGTCGCCCAGGTACAGCGTTGCCCCAACCCAAACTGTGTGAGATTCACTCCCTTATGTTACCATCTATGTCTGCTGCCCCTCAAACTTCTTAAGAGCAAAGACTGAACTTTTTCAACCATTTTATTTCTCCACGGTGGTTGGCAGAATAAACTACACATAGCAACAGCTCAGTAAATGTCTGTTAATTTTGAAAAATTAAGACAAAGCAAAAGCACAGCTTTCTATGAGCGCCAAGAAATCTGGATCCAAAAGAAGTAGGTTTGGCCAGGGTTGTCATAAAGAGCTACTAAGAGCACACATTAAAGTATTTTTTAAATGTTAAGAGGTTTATAAATACAAGGTAATGATAGGGTATTATTATTAACAGTAACTGTTCATCAGCTATTAATTGCTTTTGCATCTCATAATAAAAAATTATCAAAAATGATATTTTTTAAAAGGGAAAATCAGGTCCACTGTTCAGATAGTTTTATAGTAAACTTCAGGGATTTTATATGGGTACTAAAGTACTTCCTTTCAGATTATTGTCTTTAACGGATTTTTTTTATCTTTCAATTTCCATTAATCTCTAAAAAAAATTACTGCCTAACCTTCCGTCAGTGTATCAGTAGTTGGGTAGAAAGAACATAACCTTTATAATTTGTTAAAATGGCTGGGAACTCTGTGAGACTGGGGGTGATGTCATTCCCGTGCACAGTAAATCCCGGTCAAATGAAGAAATAAATAAGAAGGATGAATGACACGGGCGGACGTGTTTCAGTTCCAGAGCCACTACCCAGTGCCTATGTAACTTTGAGTAGGTTACTTATTGTTTTTTAGCTTCAGTTTCATTATCTGTAAAGTGAGAACAACAATCTTATTCTGAAAGCTGTTGTAAGGATTAAATAGGCTGATATTTCTAAGGCACCTAGCATAGTGTCCGACATAGAGAAAGAACTGAGTAAATATTATGCCCCCTTTAGCTACATCTCCAGGTCGTGCTTCTTCAGAGGTAAGGCAGCGATGCCTGCCTGCTGCCAAGTGTGACGATGCGCGGAAAGGCTCATCTATCTGGTTTGCTACCGTCGGCAGTCATCATCGATTTGGATCGCTGAATTGGCAATCTACAGAAACTATTCATATCCACAGTGGGAAGACTCTCTGAAGCGAGAACGCGCCTTCCCCGTTCCAGGCCGCGCCCGCACCCAGGCCTCCAGCGAGGGCTCCGTCTGTGCCCGGGCTTTCCTGACCAGGTGTGGTCATCTCTACACTCTGACCGACTTGAGTACAAGTGAATGCAAATGCACTGCAATGCTTTCCAACTGAAAATCACGCAGGAGTCATAACGAAAAGATTTAATACATGAAGACAAGGCAATGTATTAACTGCCATCTTCTCCGATATGAAAGTACTGAGAATAATTCCATAAGCTACAAACCAAAGTGTGTTGTTATACCATCACAGCTCACAGAAACTTGCCAGCTAAGAAAAAAATTGCTTTCTTTTGTTTCAGATGCAGAGTTGAATGTTTATGTTATTTTCTGTTTAGAACTAGAAGTTTTAACTTGACAGTTGCACAAAAAGAGAGCATGCTGACAAGTGTTTCATCTCACAGTAACTTACTATTTAACAATGATTTTTACTATAAAATATTTCGTTTAAAAGTTAAAACAAGTGTCAGCATTAACCTCCAATTTTCTTCCCGAGTCATATGGAAGAGATAGAAGTATTATGGTTCCCACCTGCAGTACCCATCTGGTACTAGAGGAAAAAATGACCTCATCTTGCAAAATTACCTCAGTTACCTGGCTCTAATGTTTTTGACTCTCTGACTAATGTATAATTAGTTACCTAACTGCAGCTCGTGGCAAAGGATTTTAATAAAATATGAGTGAGAATGTGGATCCATTAAGCTCCAATGATTTATGCATAAACTATACTAAGACTCATTGTTTCACACCCTTTCCAGAAAATTAGTAACCTGATTGGATTGTCTGCTTAATAGTTGCTTTATTGCAGTGAGTTAATGACATTATCTCAACACGGACTTTTGCACTTGATAATGTTCTACAAACAATGAGGATTTTTATAAATATTTACAAGGGTTTACAGTTCCTGACCACCAGATGATTTCCATCTCAGTGAAGGGTGAGAATCCTAGAAAAACATTCACCAAGTAACATAATTATCTTCCAGGAAGATTTCACTTAGAATATTTCCTGACAAATGGACACCTCATCTGTTTGTCAGTAACTGTGAACATTTGTTCAGTGCCCGCTCTGTTCATGCCACTTTACCTGGCTCGCCTTTGGTTACAAAGTAGAGAAGAGGCAAGATCTCTACTCAGACTGATAGGAAGAAAGAAGTGCACCCCCGTAGAACTTTTTAAAAATAAGGAACAGCTTTAAAAGACTCTAGCAGAATTGTGCAGGTAATGAGTGATATGGAGATCTTCGCTCACAGTGTGACCTTTTGGGGCCATCTGGGCTTCCTCTGTTGGGGCATCCCACAACAGGCCAGGCGAGGAGGCTGGGTTTGAAAGACTCAGGTCTCCAGTCTTTTCAGAGTCTATTCCATGACTCCTTTCTATAAGAAAATGTTTCATAAAATATTCCCTAACTGCTTCTCAGTGAAAAGTAAGACATTTGTTTAGTAAAAATGGACATATGATAGCCATTTTCTTCAATGCACTATTATTCCATAATGCTTTACTTGACCGCAAAATCGCCCAAAAAAAACAACCAGTATGTTCTTTCCTGTGCAGTCTCAGGATCCTGGCTTAATATCCAGAAAGCTCCTAAAGACTTTTTTCATGACTTTGTGGAGGCCATAAATATCCAGAAGCCTCCCAATGATTTGTGTCATAATTTCGTGGAGGCTGGGAGGGATGGAAGCTCTGCCCGAATACCTTTCTGGAAATTTAGAATGGATCCTGACGTTTGTTAGCAATGTCTTATATAAATGTAGATTAAAATGAAAGGTATTTATTCATAGCGTTAGTAATGACAGAAGTCTGAATACGATTCCATTAGTGGTTGAGCAGGATTTAGTTAGAAGAGCTCTGTATGGGTGTTAGAGTCTTGAAGTCTAATCCTGGCTTTGCCATTGATTAGCTATAAACTTGCGTGAGGTCTAATAAGATTACTACTACTACTACTACTACCCATAATGTGGTACTTCCAAAGGTCTTCATTAAAGAGCAGTCTAACTTTAAAGGCTCTTATCTCACTACAGTGTTAATTGCACTGTATTTTAAAAAATATTCATGGAACCTCATCTTCAACAAAATATGACTTCTTCAACACTGAACAGCAACTAACTACTTCAACAAACCCTTATCTTTGGGAATTCAAAACAGATATTGGCACATAGGCATGGGCACAAACTAGATGTTCAATAAATGTTTGATTTGAATGATTGACTTGTAAATAATGAGTGCTCACTTTCTTTACTAATGGCCCTATTTACGTGCTCCTAATGTTGTATACACCCTAAATTTGGAAAGCAAAATCACTTTGACACTCAAATTCTCACTTATGCTAGAACACATTTTCAATGCAACTTTTAAATGCTTTAGAAAAACCTGAATTCATTTAAAGCCTCTTAGTAGTGATAATGTTACCTAAAATTTAGCTTAAAAATATCAGACCTCATTTGTATATATTATGTATATGTAGCCCAAAACAGCTTTAAAATGTAAAATATAGCCAGCTTAAAGATATGCTAAATAACCATATATTCAAACCAAGTTATTAAAAAATATCTGGCTGAATAACATTTTCAACTTTCACTATCATGATTGTGATATGCATTACATCGGCATGTATTTTCTTTAGCAATACAAATCTTTGGTCAGTTGCACTCCCCCCCCACCAAAATATTACAGATGTCCCTTTTTCTCCCCATTGACCCCTTCCATCCCCCCCACCCTCCCCAGTCCCTCACCACACCATTGTCTGTGTCCTTGGGTTGTGCATATATGCATAAAAATTCTTTGGTTAATCTTGCCTCCCCCACTCCCCTCCTTCTCTCTGAGACTTGTCAGTCTGATCCATGCTTCCATGTCATTGAATCTATTCTGTTCATCAGTTTATTAAATTCTTTAGATTCCACATATAAGTGAGCTCATGTGATGTTTGTCTTTCTTTGCCTGGCTTATTTTGCTTAGTATAATACTCTCCAGGTCCATCCATACTGTCCCAAAGGGTATGAGGTCCTTCTTCTTCACAGCTGTGTAGTATCGCACAGCTTTTTATCCGCTCATCTACTGAGGGGCACTTGGGCTGTTTCCAGATCTTAGCTATTGTAAATTGCACTGCTATGAACATAGGGGTGCATATATTCTTTCTGATTAGTGTTTCAGGATTCTTAGGATATATTCCTAGGAGTGGAATCACGGGGTCAAAAGGCAGCTCCATTTTTAATCTTTTGAGGAACCTCCATACTGTTTCCATAGTGGCTGCCCCAGTCTGCATTCCCACCAGCAGTGTACAGTGTTCCCCTTTCTCCACACCCTCGCCAGCACATGTCGTTTGTTGATTTGTTGATGGTGCGATCCTGACAGGTGTGAGGTGATGCCTCACTGTGGTTTGTATTTGCGTCTCTCTGATGATTAGTGACGTTGAGCATTTTTTCATATGTCTGTTGGCCACCTGTATGTCCTTTTTGGAGAAGTGTCTATTCAGGTCCTTTGCCCATTTTTTAATTGGATTGTTTGTCTTCCTCTTGTTGACTTGTATGAGTTCTTTGTACAGTTTGGAAATTAGCCCCTTATCAGATTCATCCTTGGCAAATAT